AAGACTGAGTTTGATATTGTATATACCTGTAGGACAGCCATGCCGACCAGTACTGAGGCTACAGGGATAAGACTGAGTTTGATATTGTATATACCTGTAGGACAGCCATGCCGACCAGTACTGAGGCTACAGGGAAAAGACTGAGTTTGATATTGTATATACCTGTAGGACAGCCATGCCGACCAGTACTGAGGCTACAGGGATGAGATTCAGTTCCATCCACTTCTCGCCCTGAGGTATACAGCCGTCTGTATATATTGTCTGACTCCTGATGTTATCCTGAAACACAAAATGTCCTTACTTCATTACATCTTGTCCACATAAGGGTAATTTTTATTATGGTTTAGGAGATACACATGTACTTTATGATTGTGTACAACGACTTAGGGATTTTGCTAAAGCACTTCCAAACGTCTGAAATAAATCAACTTTATCCACTGTAACAGTTATATGTCACGTATCGCCTCCTGCAATACCAGAACCAATGTTGGTATATGTACATGATGTAGTACTGAGACAAAGTCTTCCAACAAAGCCATCTTTCTAAAATGAAAGAGACAACTAGTTTTGTTCAAAGTTCTGACTGATAAGCTATCAGAATAGTTTTACCAGACTAAAGACCTGACCCTGTAGGAAAATCCCTTGCCTTAAAAAAAAAAAATAATGATAAAAAAAGTCTCCTGAATACAGTTCATTTATGATGTACTCAAGAGAACGTCACCCAGTATATGTCTAAAAAGGATAAAACAACAAAGGTGTTTGTGAACTTACATGTGTCGGTTTGGCAATATCAAAGCCACAGTGTCGATTCTGTATAACTTCCTGAAAAGAAAAGAAAGCATTATGAAACGAGGAAGAAAACTACTGAATTCTTAAAAATGACTTGAATTGTTCAACATTTAAATTCAAAGATTTCTTCAAGTGAATCATATCATATTTAAAGACAAAGAAGTCTTCAAGTGACTTATGATGTATTTTATGTCACATATGCATAATTCTATATAAAGGGAAAGATATCATATTTTAAGAAACATTTTTTTATTAAATGATCTTTATGAATAAATATCACTGATTAAAAATTTAATTCCTCAAGTGACTTATGTCACATATGGTGGTAATATCGATAACAAGCAGAAATATTGTTCCTATTTTGATAAAAATACTCTATGAATTTAATTGTAGGAGAACAGTATTTTCATCTTTAGGATTTAAAATGAGAGTACAGAACTGTATTTGCCACAATGAGCATCCCTCCTCCTTTTTCAGGAGGAATTGAAATTATACTGACCCCCAGCCCTACCCCACCCCCACTTCCCAAGTTCTGGTCAATGACTTACAGTACTTACACTTTAAAGCAGAAATCTAAGTCTGTTAAACAGTTCTGGACTGAGTATGAAGTAGATGAAACATTCAATTTCTAAACCAGTATACATGACCGTTGAAAATGCACAACTTTTTCTATCATAACTCACCTTTTATTAAGCAAATAAGCCCCCCCCCCATCTTTAAGCCAATTTATTTTAAGCAACCTGGGTGCTAATTATGACAAATACAGCATACTGGTACTGTCTTATGTAGGTTTTATGCATGAGTACCAGTACTTATACTACTTACATCTGTAGGCTTACAACAGGAAAATGGTACTCCACAAGCCTCGGCCCCCGGGGACGAACAGTTGAAGTATCGGTTACGTTCCCAGTCTCTGTAGTCGGTCATTCCACAACACAACAACTGTAAACATACATCATATAGATAAATCAACCCGGTAAAATATGGAATCTTAATGCTTCTTGCAAACTCGGCTACGGAGAATTTCTCTTTAGGTCATTCAGTAGAGCATCAGACTAGAAAAACAGAGATCCTGGATCTGATCTCTGATAAAACCATTGAAAAAATAATGACCTCTGTTACATTGGAGACAATATATATGAAAAGACCATAAAATATTGACAAGTCAAACTCAGCTTTGCTCTAACAAGCATCACCGATATATACCCCTGGACAAATTCTTTCCTGGGGAACGAAGCAGGTCATCCTGATAAAAATCCGGCTTTTTCCTATAGTTGTGCTAATATTATGTGGGTAGGAGAATTTCTGTTTAGCTTATCTAGTATGGTGTCACACTAATCAAGTTTTAAACTGGAAGCTCTAGGTTTGATATGGAGCAGACGCACTGAAACTGCACAAAGAAATATAATAGTTCAGCGTGAGATCACGATGGTGACTATAAAACTTGCCAATAGTCTTTATCTATACAGGCATATCTTGTAACCTGGTGTTTTAACCTTTTCACCCTTAGGTAACTTTAGTAGACTCTACCATGCATTTATTGGGATGAGACATTTATGGTCTACGGTGGTGAAAGGGTTAATAAAAAGTTTGTCCATCAGCTGTCATAATCTATCATGGAAATTGTGATATTGCGTGTGGCATGAAAGCACTGTGCGTAGGTGAAGGAATCAGGGATGTTACTATCAAGAAAGGAGAGTTTCAAAATTTGAAAATTGTCGGTGTTTCTTTTTGCAAAGCTAACATCACATTCATTTCAAACATTACTGAGACCAGGGAAAGTTCTTGTGATGGACAACCGAAGGCAATGCCTACATTACATAACTAAGGCATACTTAGCTTGATGCAGCAGCTTTTAAAACTATTCGCACATAGTAGCCCTAAGCTGTATAAACTATACAATGCGATTACTGTTACTATCCAGGAAGATTTTAGAATAATAAAGTTTCAAAGTGTTTCTCTCTTGATGACATAATAGTGCACTTGCTTTTATCGCTGGCATGATTACATCAGTAACCAACACTAGTGTATGAGGTCAATCAACATTAAGACCTGCATGTGTAACTTTGGCTACAACCTCAACAACATCATGAGTTCATAGAGAGCATAAAAAGCAGAAGGTAATGATAGTTCAATGTATCACCTACCCAGTCCTCCTGTACCCAGTCGATCAGGTTCTGGAGATCAATATCCTCACGGTAGTTCACAATCATGGTCCTCACCTGCATTTCTATCTCACCCCGAACCTGTCAAATAATCGACCAATCAAAAAACACATCACATCATTCAATATCTCACCCCGAACCTGTCAAATAGTCAACCAATCAAACACATTATAGCATTTCTAAACATTATAGCATTCATTTTGAAAATTATATAGTGCTAGGCAAAGATCCCTGGAAGACCAAGATTCATTTATAAATATGGGATAAAGCAAAAGTTTTTCTCAGTTTTATTGTTTTTTGTTTTTTTAGGTGGAAGGGGGGGGGGGGGGGGGGGGGGGAGGGGAGGATACCATTACATGTATAATGAAATAATACCAATATGATAGAATGGCAGCTGGCATATGAATGTTGAGCTGGCCTTCAGTTGTCGGTGGATCAATATTATAGAGTGTTTCAAATTTCCTGAACACTGACATTATTTTTTGACACCAATTTCAGACAAGCACAATTGAAGCCAAATCCTTGTTCTACATTATAACCTGCACAAAAAAATAGAAATAGCAAAATCTGATTGACAGCATTCTATATTTATCCTGCAATAAGCCCAATTCTGGGTATAAGCATACATGTACAAATGTATATACAATGTATCGCAGTTCAGTTGAAAATGCAAACAAATGCTATTTCATTGTCCAATAATATGTCCTGTGAGTCCTTCTCCTTTTGGGTCAGAGATTATGTGTTTGCCCCATGGGCTTATTGGAGGGTAAATACGGTAATTTGTATACTTTATGGTCAGATTTGATTGTTATAAAGTGCCAAACCATGCTAATGCTGCCACCATTTATCTAACAAAAAATAATTGGCATTATAAAGTGGTTTGGCGATATATGAGGGAGACATAGAAAGGAATTGTTAAGAAACATGAGAAGGGAATCTTTTTGAAATCTGCTGGCGATAAGCGAGGTGACCTATGCTATGTTGGCCATTAAACTGAGGTTTTACTGTTCATTGTAAATATATTGTATGATATGGTGTTACATCTGACATACCCAGTCTTTGTAGACAAACCCCAGGATCCCAATCAACAGCTCCACACAGAATATCAGGCCCACCAACACACAGAACTGAAAAGATAAAATAATCTAAATCAAATGAAGAAAATTTACATTATTATCATAAATTAAACTGGATACAGCGTGCAATTCATGTGGTACATGTAATGCTATATTGATTTTCTGAAATACTTTGATCTTCAAAAGACACCCAAGCAGTTCACGCTATAATAAAAGTACAGTTCATCTGGTATATATGTACTGCATTGCTGTAGGAGATAATGTTGTATGGTTATAGCATGCAAATTAAAGTACCAACACAAACCAAGTAACTGGCTATATCAAAGTTTATCACTCCGGATCATTAAGGAAGAGAGTCCCAGCACTCTGTGTTGTATCTCCAACAAAGAAGAGTTCCAATTTGTTTAGTATTTTTCTGACTTGTAGCTAGCTGCTAGCCAAATTTAATACAGGAATGAAGTGTATATACTATAGAAAAGCATTTATTACAACTTCCTTTCTCATAGATTCTCTGTCACAAGGATTTGATCCACAGACCCCTTAATTATTAGTGGGAGCTGTATTCGCTGTGCTTTATATACAAGTTATTCATTTTTCCCTGCAATTTTTTTTTTATTTTTTTATTTTTTCAAATTTACATGTTTTTATTCAACCTTTTGCATATTATACATTTGACAGTATATTGTACATGTTAAAATTAATATACATTGTATCTGGTATATAAATATATAGATCTGTGAACAATATACAATGAAAATTCCTCTTGACTGCCCATCTTATATTTTTCCTGGACACTGTTTTTATTTTTTTTATTTTTTTATTAATGACTCAGGGAGGTGTTTACTGTATTTTTGTTCCCGTTATGGTATTTAATAAAGTTATCAGGCATTCAAAAGGATTCAGTTAATTTGAATCAGTGGAAGGTTCGAGCACATTTTGATACATCAATTATGTTCATATCGGTGATAAAAAATTACATTTATTTTCTAGAAAAAATATATTAAGTTTTTATAGAAACGTCAATGAATGTTCATGGTGGACAAATGCTCAAAGATATCAAAGAATTTGAAAAATGATGGCATCTATCAATGTATCAGTATATTTCTGATATATTTCATTTGAAGCTTATTCTAAGCTGCCTCTGAACTGAAGTACATAATAGTGCACTTAACATATTTTACAAATTTATTACTTTATGTAATTTTAATTATGTACATTACATAAACTAGAACAGCTGTCATCCAGAGGATAACTAATTACATCATTATTTCACAGCTGAAAAGTTATTTTGCTGTCTTAAGTTGTCTTATTTTAAACAATTAATTCTAAGCTGCCTCTGAAATGCACAACTCCACCAGACGCACTACTAACCAGCAGATGCATTATATGTGCAACATTTAACATTCACGAAATGAACACAACACCAGGTTACTTGTACAATACAGCAGACTTGATTATTATCTATCCCTAGCTTTATCTAGCTGTCGATTTTGTTGCTATGACAAACAGGTCCAGGATTCATTATAACTATTTCTGGATCAGCAGGTGATCAGATGAATGTGGATCTAGTAATGGGATCGGAGCTGGCCATAATAAGTCCCTGAGGCACTCCCAGGTCTCCTGCACGACACAGTCACATAATACTTAGTTGTACTGGTCCGTGATATTATACTGTATGTCCTAATAGTTTCTTTAACATTAATATTTTGTTCTTCTTGTATATGGATAAACTTCAATTTTATATTATTCTGATACACAGATATGTGACTATTAATTGATTCCTTTTTTCTGGGTTAATAAAAGATCAAAAGGTTTGTTGAAAATGTTTTATGTGAAATAACTATGAATTTGTTTTGACCAGCAGGGTACTTGTAGTCGACCACAATAATTAAGGCCAGACAAAAAAAAAATGTTTCCTGTAACATGTTGGAAAAATTTAGGGTAGTTATAGGTAGGTAACAAATTTTATTTTAACAAATAATTTTGTATGGTTTATATATAGGAGAGATAGGAGAGCGATCTTGACTTCAACAGTGCTTCTTTGAAAATTGCCTTAAAAAGTTTAAGGTAGGCACACAAAATTAGTGTAGGCAGGGTTATAAGAGAAACACCAAATATTTTTTGTTTCGCCTTTATTACCTTATATAAATGTGTCATGTCAGAAAACACTTAAGGATCCCTGTCCCACTGTACTGTGGGTTTTCTTATATACGGTAACCTCCCCTTAATTTTCTTTTGCATATAAGGTTAACTGTGTAGGACAGTTTGGTCAGGTTCGCTGACCATTTAGCTCATTGATGGTTAGAGCGACAGTATAACAATAAAAAGTCCAGGGTTCAAATCTAGGTGTACATATCCTCTGCTGAATTTTTACTATCAGAACACTGTTGTTGTTGTTGTTGTTGTTGTTGTTATTGTCGTTATTGTTGTTGTTGTTGTTATTGTTATTGTTGATGTTGTTGTTATTGTTATTGTTGTTGTTGTTGTTATTGTTGATGTTGTTATTGTTGTTATTGTTGATGTTGTTATTGTTGTTATTGTTGTTGTTGTTGTTATTGTTGTTGTTATTGTTGATGTTGTTGTTGTTATTGTTGTTGTTGTTGTTATTGTTGATGTTGTTGTTATTGTTATTGTTATTGTTGTTATTGTTGTTGTTGTTGTTGTTATTGTTATTGTTGATGTTGTTATTGTTATTGTTGTTATTGTTGATGTTGTTGTTGTTGTTATTGTTGTTATTGTTGATGTTGTTGTTGTTATTATTGATGTTGTTATTGTTGTTGTTGATGTTGTTGTTGTTATTGTTGATGTTGTTGTTGTTGTTATTGTTGTTATTGTTGATGTTGTTATTGTTATTGTTATTGTTGATGTTGTTATTGTTATTGTTTTTGTTGTTGTTGTTATTGTTGTTGTTATTGTTGATGTTGTTGTTGTTGTTATTGTTGTTGTTGTTATTGTTGATGTTGTTGTTGTTGTTGTTGTTATTGTTGATGTTGTTGTTGTTGTTATTGTTATTATTGTTGTTGTTGTTGTTATTGTTAATGTTGTTGTTGTTATTGTTGTTATTGTTGATGTTGTTATTGTTGTTGTTATTGTTGATGTTGTTATTGTTATTGTTGTTGTTATTGTTATTGTTGTTATTGTTGTTGTTGTTGTTATTGTTGATGTTGTTGTTATTGTTGTTGTTGTTATTGTTGATGTTGTTATTGCTATTGTTGTTATTGTTGTTGTTGTTGTTGTTGATGTTATTGTTGTTGTTGTTGTTGTTATTGTTGATGTCGTTATTGTTATTGTTGTTATTGTTGTTGTTGTTGTTATTGTTGATGTTGTTGTTATTGTTGATGTTGCTGTTGTTGTTGTTGTTGTTATTGTTGATGTTGTTGTTGTTGTTATTGTTATTATTGTTGTTGTTGTTGTTATTGTTAATGTTGTTGTTATTGTTGTTGTTGTTATTGTCGATGTTGTTATTGTTCTTGTTGTTGTTATTGTTGTTATTGTTATTGTTATTATTGTTATTGTTGTTATTGTTGATGTTGTTATTGTTATTGTTGTTGTTATTGTTATTGTTGTTATTGTTGATGTTGTTGTTGTTATTGTTGTTGTTGTTGTTGTTATTGTTGATGTTGTTGTTATTGTTGTTGTTGTTATTGTCGATGTTGTTATTGTTATTGTTGTTGTTATTGTTGATATTGTTATTGTTATTATTGTTATTGTTGTTATTGTTGATGTTGTTGTTGTTGTTATTGTTGTTATTGTTGATGTTGTTGTTATTGTTGTTGTTGTTGTTATTGTTGATGTTGTTGTTGTTATTGTTGTTATTGTTGATGTTGTTATTGTTGATGCTGTTGTTGTTATTGTTATTGTTGTTGTTGTTGACAATATTTTGTTTGTTTCACTGTTATTACTTTTTCATCGAGTCCCGCACGGCATAAATTTTGTTTCAAAAATGATTTATCAATGATTAATCCATGTATACTCGTCCTGGAAAAACAGTTTACATGTACATGTATATAGTATGCAAACTTCACTATTACAAAACTTGTAAAATTTAAAAACCACCAACATTGTATTATGAAACTATTGCTTTCATTCCTTTTTAGCAGCTTTTTTTCGAAAGGTGTTTTAATCAGGCGCATTGAATATCTTATGAAAAGGTTCATGTAACACAACAATAAAGTGTTTAAACGTGACGTTTCGATGACTTTAGTATGGTTTACACCTTCATCAGACAAATGACACCATGTGTAATGACCCATTTAAAATCTTTAAATTAGATACAACTCCCAGGCTTTTCTCTGATGTAACGATCTGTACACGTTCTCCCGGTCGTCGGAGATGAAAGCAACATGCTCTTTGTACAAATGCCCTACCGCAGCAACAGTAGTGTGACTCAATGCCGTGTGTCTGGCCCTCTGTCTAAATATCTACGACTGTTTAGGGCCGCTCCTCAACACAAAACATACTGGTACAACACTTGCTAATCAACTCATTCTGTACTCATTTTTTTTTTTACGGATGCTTTAAATAGTTAATCTGAATTCAACGAATCAACTCCACAAGAGATTGTGTAGCCTGCTAAATTATTTACATGTACAAGTCTGTATAACTGTGTCCAAACTAGCTACAATTGTAACTATCAATTAAGTTTAAATAGTAACCTGATCACTGCTTGTGGTGTCTACTGAAAGAGTGTAAATATCCACTGTTTAAATAGGTTAAGGAGGCTCCACCCTTTCGCAATTAGCCATCAGAATTCAATGAAAGTTTCACATGATGGTTATGTCACTATGTAGAGATGATTTTATGAAAATCTAAGCACTCCGATAAACTGGGGATTTATTTGTAAAAAATACCGAAAAATTGAATTTTTGTCAAATTCAACACTTTCACATTTTTTGAGCGTGTGGCATTGTTCAAAACTATTACAACAATAAAATAATGAAAAGAAACATTGCTAATCAACCCTACAAATATTTTATTTATCATAAAATATCTACAACATGTTACAAAAAGCGTTTTTTATTGAAACTATATGGATAAAAGTTACTAAATACAAGCCAAAATCAAACAGGACACATAGTTACATACAAAAAGAGTGAAAAATTGAACCAAATACACACAAAGTCTTTATAATTAATTTATTTTACATTTTACAATTATTTTGATCCTGATGAGAGTTGTCTACCTTGAAAAAAATCGGAACTTTTTGCAGAGGGATAGAATTTATACAATGACACTTATTTTATTTAATATACCAAAAACGACGGAAATAAATTAAATTACTATATTTATTTGTCAATTTACTGTTCTTTTATGGAACAAAATTACTCTCAATCATGTACACTTTGGACATCATTCCATAGCCTGCTTACGCATGGTATATTAACATGTCAGGTACATATGTAACCATAGGCTATCGCATGGTATGCCGTTATTATGTGCACGCACATGCACTTGCATTTTATAGGGATCTTGATATTTTACAAACCACTATTTTCACAGAGTTATTGTAATTGCATTTGTGAACCGATTTTTCTGACAGAGCGTAACTCGCTCGACAACAAAAGTCGCAGCGACCAAGAGCTTTTGAACTACTGTTAGCATGTGATACGTACAGGTGAGGTCGGTAAACAAAACACATCAGTCTGCATTCCAGGCGCCTCATATACGACCTTCTTGAAGTCGTCTGATCGTATGTCAGTGTTTTCCCCGTGAGTTAATTAATGTCTTTGTATCATAAGCTTTAATTCTGAAGTACGTGTGATTACACATTTCCAAGTGAAGTCTAGATATCGGGTGTTAACATATCACGTCACGCACGTGTACTATTGTTAACCCGGTGTTACTATAATTTACACTACGGTAATGGAATGCCCGATACGCAATACGGAAATGACGACACGAAAATACGACAAGAAAAACATGTGTATTACGAAGGGTAGAAACTCCTTAACTGTATATTCCAGAAAAAAAAGAAAAAAAACAACAACTGTATATTCCAGTATTAATTGATCTTCTTGAACCATATCTACCCTCTAGTTTTTCTCATAGTCATATTTATCAATACCAAAACAAGAGAATGCTACAATATTTAACAAGTAGATTTATTAATAATACTTTAACAGATAATATATGCTTAGATGGATGTTAAAATTTCCGGCAGGATTTAATTTAGACTGTGCAGGTCTCTTTTAGTTTTAAATACATTACATTTAATTAGGTCTCTAGATATCTGTATATATTGTTATCTTTATACTGCAATTAATTGGATTTCTTTATATTAATAAAGTGTAAAATGTATATGACACAGGTACATTAATTGTTTGAAAGGTGTAAAATGTATATAATGTTATACATTAAACTTCTGGCTGACTAAGAGAAGCCTCTAGCATGTTTGAAAAAAAAAAAAAATAGAACATTTTTTAACCGATTTAGACTTCCTTTTATATTGTAAACTTTATAATTAAACTGTTCTGTTAGCTAATTAAGCTTCTCTTTATAGTAATTACTAGGAAATTAAAACAACTTAGCCACCACAAATCTGGTATACATTTGACAAGTCCTTTTTGGAGTGAACAAAGAATTTATCACATTCATTTATTACTTTTACAATCAAAAAGTAATCTTTAAAGCTATATCACCTTTTTGCTCAAGTCCAATGAATTGATTACATAGAACAGCCTATACTGTGATATTTTAAATCATTATTTTATCAAATATATTATTGTCAGTACTTTTTAGACATTTTGTATTTTGCCATATCGATGTTTCCTCCAATAGACAAGTAGGAAAGGGTTTGTAATTTATAAGCACATACAAAGAAGTATTGAACCATTTGTCCTTCTGTGTGACGTCTGGATCTTATACCCTAAAAAAAGATCAAAGTGACCTAATCATGTAGTAAAAATATAAACTTTATTCATTTTACAACAATTATGTAACAAGTTATTTCAACTTATATTAATCAGTCTTGTTAGCCCGGACGTTAGCGCGCAGGGGGGGTCTTATTGTGGGAGGAAACCGGAGTACCTGGAGAAAACCCAAGTGGTCGGGCAGGTGACCCCATAACTTTTCACGTCCGATCAGGGAATCGAACCCCGGCCGCCCTTGGTGAAAGGCAATTGCAAGTGCGCTATCCACTGAACCTAAGGATTCACCCCTAAATCATGTAGTAACTTCCTGCTAAAGATTATTTATATATCCATCACTTATCTCAGGTTTGAAGATTTTACATTATGAGAAAGTAAAATTAATTTATAGATAATTCTTAAAGAAGCATGCGGGCCTCCTCTTATACCCTAAAAGATCACAGTGACCTAATCATGTAGTAACTTCCTGCCAAGATATATCCATCACTTATCTCAGGTTTGAAGTTTTTACAATATGAGAAAGTAAAATTAATTTATAGATAATTCTTTAGGAAGCATGTGGGCCTGGGTCACTCAAATCTTAAATTTGGCCTCTCCTATTTTTCATTTTTCTTAAAATTTTACAGAAAAGGACTCCTGACTTTTTATATTTACCAAAATGTTGTTAAAAATGGCCCATTACTCTAGGTCTCGGATATTCCAGGTTTTACCCTGTAAGTTTTGGCCCCGGCAGTTACAAGGACAGTTTCTTTTTTAATGTTTATTGATCCCTTCTACATATATTCAAGGATACGGTTTTCAGAATTTGTTTTCTTTCAACTTAATAATTACAATACGTGAGATAGGATTTCTAACACTGTGCAATAATAATGCATAAAAATTGAAGACCAGACGGCAGGGTGACATTTAAATTTGAAACCACAAACATAATGTCAATGCTACAACCCTTTATTTCTACCCAGAACAATAATCGTCCTGTTTATAGCCAGTGTTGTAATCATACAGTCTGCGTATATAGACGTACAGTGGATAGACACACAGTAACTTACAAACTGTCACACTGATTATAGTGTTACAGTATTTACATAAGTTTGATTTAATGTTGGGATAGCGGTTTATTGTGTACCGACCCAGAATATATATTTATTGCTTTCAATAAAACCGAGATAAAATAGGTGAATTATATTTACATAGAAAATCAAAATAAACAAATCTATCATGAAAGGTTATTATATTAAAACAAGGCAAAGTATTGTGATCAATCTATATAGTCCCCCATCAACAGACAAACTTCTGTATCGAAAAATTAACAAAGGCCCTTAACTCTAAATATAGCAGGGCATGACACCCAATTTCAGCATACAAACTTTGACAATTTCAATTTTACTGTTTATATGAGATATGCCCTGGAAATCACCAGCCAAAGATGTATATACATGTACAAACAATTTGCCAATTTTAACTCATTCACCCCTGAAGACACATTTGAACTCTTCCAATTCAATGGTTGGAATAGTTCATTATGAAACTTCAGGGGTGAATGAGTTAAGGTGACAGTACATATATAAATATATGTAAGAGAAATGCCCCAAAAAATCAAAGCCCTGACAGCTGGGTGACAGAGAGACGAAGTGTAATCTTATAATGTATAGTTCCCTTAAACCAAAGGATATTGAAACACTTCACAGATAATTCTAGCTGTAGATAAAGAGTAAATGAATATTTTTCTTTATGACTGATCTCAAACTTACAAATTGATTGATTTCTGTACATGAGCCCACGTACGGGACTCAAATACAGTATAGCCAACAAGGATATATATATATTTATCTTTTGTCAATGAAAGTCATTGGAAGATTCAAAACTGAATTTGAACTATTGTATTTTAATACTGTGCATTAACCTGTGAATACAAATGTTTCACATACTACAGGTACATGTATGTACATATTCGATCAATTCAGACAGGGGATGGGGTGGGGGGGAAGTGAGGCAAATTCCTTGTCGCACCCCTAAAGAGGCTTAATTACTGTTTGTAAAATAGCTATCGTACATGTATGTACTTACAGACAATCTGTGCACATGTGCCAACTATACATGTACTGTTAGATGAGCATGCTTCTGTTTATGAGGAACACTTAAGATATAATGTACAGGACTTACAAAAGTGAGCAGACATGTGTTTTCCCTGAGAGCGCCGACACAGCCGGAGAACCCGATGATAAATATGACCAGACCGATCAGGATGAAGAATAGTGCGGGGTCAAGGGTGATGTTGGTCATTTTGTTGATATTGTTGAACATGTCTTTTTCCGTCCATGCCCACAGTCCGATGGCCAACACTGTCGCTCCGATCAACTGAAACATAAACAACACAACTCATCATTGCATTAATTCATACATATTTCCATTGATAGAGGATACGCTGGTGACATGACTACGGTCGAGTTTCGATAATTTTGCTATATTAATTATTGTGAGACAGCTGAATTACCATGATAATTATACAAAAGACCAATCATTCTCCTGAAATACTGGCTACATATGTACAGGAGATGGAAAATGTAACAGATTCAAACCCAAGACCTCAGAACTCTTGGCAGATACTTTTACAAATTGAGCTACCAGTGCACGTGGGTCTCCTGCAGGTCAACATTTACTACCTAACCCCCTCCACCCCTTCAACCCATCCCTCTTATTTAGGCAAAAAGAACAAGCAAAATTTGTGCCTACTCTTAAACATTTTTGAGACAGGAAACAAACATGGTTTTTTTGTTTGGCCTAATAACTCTTCACCGAAAATTCCCCTTTTCTTATCTTAAATATTTTCCATATTGGGAACAAATATCCAGACATATATACTGTCATGTTTACGTTACAGGTGGTAACTATGTACATATGCATATGGTAACTATGTTCATATATAGATACTGTTGTTCATATATTAATTATAGAAAACATGTTCAACATAAAAGCTGGATAAATATATACATCCCAATAGGCAAGTTGTTCTCCGGTCCATTATATAAAGATTGAGAAAATGAACCAACTAAATTGAGTTTTGTTTTTTCTTTCTCATAGCCTCAGCACAGGCCTTTCCTTAAATGACCTTAGCTGTCGATATGACATTAAACTCTTTAAACCCAAACCATCTTGTTTTGATGCTGGGCAATAATAATCTTAGAGTACGAAGGACAGAAAGAATTACACTGACCTCAATAACCATCTTATATATATATATCTATCTATCTTAAGAGTTTGGCTTAAATTATGAAGTCATCAGTTACTCTTACAGAGAAGCTGGATCGAAGCACTGAATATGCTGTGTTGGTATATAAGATATACTGTATATATATATGTGTGTGTACACATACAAGCTTGTTTGCCTATCATTAGCACTTATAGTGTAAACACTTTGTAGCAATTATTACGGCAGTCTTAACTTTTGCAGCAAAACAAGACGGATGGTTCTCAACTCATCAACCAGCTGTTTAAGCGACTATATAGCTAAAGCTATAGCACTGGTTCATTCAATATTTAAGTATACACAGCAAAAACATATATTGTGTAAAAACAACAATTCTGGGGGATTGCTTTTAATAATTTGTTTATCCAAAATCCACCCACGTTAATTGCACATTACACAAATTATTTACTGATGATATCAATTCCCTATCTCAAAAAAAAAAAAGTATCTTTGGGTAAGTGAAATGATAATAGACATAAATTTAAGAATTTATCAGCAGTTCAAAAGTTATAGCCCAGACAACTATTAAAATGAATTAAATTTGATTTTAACTCTAATTTATATTATGTAATTAAGGTTGAGACCTCCAGTACTCTGTGTAAAATGTAATATCTTCAACAAACACAAAATCTAAATTGTTCAGCATTTTTCCGTCTTGAAGTTACTACATGTATGTAATAATAGAAGAAATAGATTCATTATCATATTTTCCCTTTATTTGTAAAAACATATCCTCCACTATTGGGATCTGAACCCCAGGTCACCAGTGACAGCTTCTATATATATATATATCAGAAAGCAAGGAGCTTATCGTAATTTGTTTCATCAATACTTCTGTACTTTTCAGCAACATCACTGGGAATAATTGCCTTAATTAAACTTCCTAAAATTCCCAACAAACTATAATTGTGTACGAGTTAGACACAGTTGGAATTACATATCTAATTGGATAACATGTAAATGCAGAAAGAAGTTAGGACTCTACACCGACTACCTAGGTATGTATGACAGCACTCTAGTAACAGCCCAAAGTTCTAGTGCTGACACTTAACTCATTCACCCCTACGTTTTTAAACTGGACCTGCCAAGTTTTTGATATGGTAAGGTTCAAACGTGGTTTTGGGGGTGAATGGGTTTATTAACTGTCATATTATCAGAATGGCTTGTTCCTTTTTACAAGACCAAGAGTCAAATGTCTGTATTATAAAATGTAGCAATCATGACAATAACTCATTATGCAAAAAAATATTATTTTTCTTGTGTCTTCTATATATATGGTGATGACAGGATCACTTTCCTATTCTGAGAAAGAAAAAAAAGTTCAGAACCAATTTATATTAGGCTTTTAGAAAAATTTGGTGCCATATTGTAAGTTCAAGGACCTGTGAAGCAGGACATTATTCCTATTTTGTCTTCCATTACAATTTATGTTCAAATGTTGATAAGAAAACTTATTGTAAGATTGGTTTGGTTTTATTTTGTTTAACGTCCTATTAACAGCTAAGGTCATTTAAGGACGGCCTTCCCAGTGTGTGCATGATGCATGCGTGTAGTGTATGCGTGTGTATTTTGGGAGGCTGCCATATGTTCGTGTTTGTCTTCTCGTGATAGCGCGGAACTGATGCCGACTTTATAGTGCTACCTCACTGAAACATACTGCCGAAGACACCCAGCGGGACGCCCCACCCGGTCACATTATACTGACAACGGGCGAACCAGTCTATTGCAAGAACTAAAAGACAATGTGAAAATGTCATTTGTTGAGAAGAAGTCACAGAAACTAAGAATACAATTAGCAGAGTATTGCAAGCAATCCAAAGTCCCCTACCTTTGGATGAAGTTTAAACAGTATCAAAATTGAACAAAGATTTCTATAACTCTGTGATGTCAGTATGAAACATGTGCACTATACTATCCAAGATAAAGTCACATACAAAACATATACATGCCAACCCCGGATACACAGAAAGAGGGTGATGACACTCTTTTGAATTTAAAAAAAAAGGGTCATAGCACGTGGCGTTCTTTTTTGCAACAAATATAAAAAAAAGTAGATATTAAATTAGTATTTTAATGATGCAAAAGAGAAGTTTTATAGCAACATCAAAATTTGGCAGTTGTATGTCAAAGATTATTCCAGATATACCATGGACAAAGTGACATACTGTGAGCAAAGAGGCCATAACTCTGTGTATTGTATGGCACAAAACTCATTGTCAGCTTGTGACCTGTGCACTATTCTGTCTTTGCATATAGCAGAGTTATCTTCTCTTGTGAGCAGGTATTGATTGTTACGTGATCATTGGTTTGTGTGAGAAAATTACGTCGTTTTCTCAAAAATTGATGACGTTACTCTCAGAAACAAATGACGTAACAATCAATACCTGCTCCCAAGAGCAGATAATTCTGCATTACGAAAAGACGGATAACCATCCAAGGATAAAGTTCAATACAAAGTTTAGCAGTTGTATTTTCAAAGATTATTCGAGATATACCATGGACAAAGTCTGTGAGCAAAGGGCCATAACTCTGTATATACATGCAGTAGGGCACTAAAGTAATTTTCACCTTGTGACATGTGCACTATCCAAAGATCAAGTTGCATACAAAATTTGGCAGTTGTTTGTCAAAGATTTTTCGAGATATACCATGGAAAAAGTGACATACTGTGACCAAAGGGCCATAACTCTGTATATACAGTTGGCACAAAACCATATAAAAGTACATACAGTTGTTATGGTAGAAGCAGATCATGGTCTATAGCGGATCACTTGGAAGACTAAAAGTTAGCATAGCCAATCAGAAATTTGATAAAAGTGTATGCTTTGTACATTCTAGAAATTAAAATATATAGTCAATGTATCTGGTAGCCATAAGTTTTCAGAAATTGTGTGTATCGTTTCTTTGCCGAGTGATTCGCTACTGCTGTAATAACTGTATGCAACACTCAACCATCCAAATAAGAACCTAGATACAAAATTTGTCAATCGTAGTTGAAAAAGTATATGAAATATGCCCGGACAAATTGATATACAAACGAATGGATTAAATGCAAACTGATAGTCCCCTCCGGCAGTAGAACTTGTGTGGGAGGCCAATAATATTTAATTACAGTTATAATGTTCCATGCTTTCAGAACATTGAACTTGTTAAATTACGTTAATGTAATTTTAATCTTGGAATTTTCTTTGAAGGTTCGTATTCCGTGAAGTGCTCATAGATAAAGTTTTGTATCGCACCATGACGCACATAAAAAAAAGGTTTCTAAAGATTTAAATGGGAAAGAACTATGGTCCAGATCCCACAGGTAGATGAAGAAACAAATATTGATCTGTATTTCAATGACATAGTTGTTCTACAGAATGTATATGTAGGTACTAGATGTATACAGCATATATATATTGATGTTAGGAAGCAAGTGACATCTAGATATAGGTTATCATTAGATTCACACTATTGATCAAGAGTGTCATAGTATATATGTAGCTACTGTATTTACTTGGTTACTGTGGTGACAAGATAAACAATTGGTATATATATCCGTTGTGGAGTATTCCCATAATAGTATTGATCACATTTTCTGCAACGTTATAGATTTCCAATAATGCTCATAAAATTTTCATTATTTTCTTTAAAAACATTCTGCGTGATATCCCTGTGTGATAGCTAGCTAGCAATAGATATAAAATATTTTGATAACTCTTAGTGTTTTTATCAATGGTATATAATCTCACATGAAGAGATAGTCAATAATTCACATGCCAGGAGACTTTTATTCGAGATGTAGCTTCCTATTGTTATCGGATTCAATTTGCTACATGTTTTATCCATTAAATATTCATGAAATGAAACATCAGACGAATGATGAACTCATCGGTATCTACACAGCTGCTGTGTTAAATCATGTTGACAATTCTGCAGGATAATTCAATAAAACATAAATGCACTGTGCTTGTGTTCCATAAATAACAAAACAGTTAATTAAACACTGAAATTGACAAGCAGATTTTAGCAAAAAAAAAATAAAAAAAAATGTTCTCAACTCTTTGTGATTTTCATTTCTATTAGCAATTGCATATTTAAAATAGGGCCTTGCCGCCGGTGGCCTTCTTTCAAAATCCTGTATTCTAGGAAACCTACATGCATGATACATTGATTTAATTAATATCCAGGTCCTGTAGACTTGATCCTCTGAGTAAGTATGCACTGATTCATATATATATATATATATATATCAGTCTCAGTGTGAAAAGCAGAGTTGATATCTGTGGTTTTTAGCTAATTTTTTTCTCTGCCAAAAAATGTATAACCATCATAAAATTGTCATACAATGTGTGACGAAATTAGGTTACCCTCGTTAGTATAATTAATTAAGACTAAATTTAGTCTCCGTGACTAAAATAGTGACGTTTATCAATTATTCATTTATTGTCTGTGATTAAATACATAGTGGTGTTTCAGCTGTTTCATATATATATATATATCTGCAGTGATCCATCTACAATTTATTTTAGTGAATCCTTTTTAACTGTAATGCTAAAAGCAATGAGTCCCACAATGATAGATTTAACTATTTCCAGAAATTCTGTGAGTCCCATCAAAATTCTATGAGTACAGGACTCAGGACTCGCATGTAGATTTATCACTGATATCTGTATCCTATATGTATTTTTTTTTTTTAAATCTGTTAAAAAATGCTGAATAAAAGTTAATGAAAAGCCTGGTGTTCATCAATTATTATCTATAATCATATATAGTGCAGAGACGTACATATATACATACTACTGGTTTTATATGTCTCTGATAAGCGATATTTCAGCTTTTTCTGATCATTATTTCAGATGTGATTTTACACAAGTTGGTTGGTTAAAAATTGTCAAGCAGAAGTTAATTACTGAAGAGACTGGAGTTTCAAGTTAGCAATCACCAGTCGCACAGTTACTTCAATAAACACATGGCTAAGCAACATTGCTCTCCCATCTGATTGAAGCTGTAATTATGTCTCAAACTCCATTTCAGTTTATTCCATATATTGCTAATTTAAAGGATTTTTTGAGTATTAGAGGCATGTCCTATAGTTTAAGACAACACTTAGTGTGACTTTGCTTTTGATCACAGTATACTGCAAGAGTACTACAGGTACAAAAAAGTTTATTTTATCAGACACACATTTTAGCAAATTATTGCAATTTTTAACAGATTAGCCCATTGATGAATTGTCAAGCTTACAATATATATATATAAAAGAAAACTATAAACGAAAACTTGAATTAGCTAAAATGACCACTAATACACTACTAGTATCTTTCGAAGATCTGAACCTTCTTTTTTTATCCTTTGAATTTTGTCTGAGTTGAAATTGATTTTAAATAAACCTTAATTCTCCTGACATGTAGATATATAGCCATTAATGGCACTAAGATACTTTCACTTAAAAAATGTCCTCATTTATCAGGAATCGAATACATTACAAACAAAAAATACCTATTCCTGGGCAAAAATGCTAAGTCATATACATCCTGTGTTTGCATATTGTTGACCACAGAATATGTTGGCTTTAGAACTCAAAAGGCATATCATTCAATGACCCTCATCAATTATTTTGAGACTAAATCCTATGACTGCCATCATAGAGTCTCTGTGACTAAATCAATTACTATCTTCCATTAGTCTCTATAACTGGATCAAAGACATTTTTCTCTGTGACTTAATAGCAGTGACCCTCGCCTATTTTCTGTGACTAAATCGGTGAAACGTGCACCCATTCATTATTCTCTGTGACTAAATCAGTGACACCCATTCATTATTCTCTGTGACTAAATCAGTGACACCCATTCATTATTCTCTGTGACTAAATCAGTGACACCCATTCATTATTCTCTGTGACTAAATCAGTGACACCCATTCATTATTCTCTGTGACTAAATCAGTGACACCCATTCATTATTCTCTGTGACTAAATCAGTGACACCCATTCATTATTCTCTGTGACTAAATCAGTGACACCCATTCATTATTCTCTGTGACTAAATCAGTGACACCCATTCATTATTCTCTGTGACTAAATCAGTGACACCCATTCATTATTCTCTGTGACTAAATCAGTGACACCCATTCATTATTCTCTGTGACTAAATCATTGACCCTTGTCTATTTGTCTCTGTGACTATCACAGTAATGCAGTGACCCAGAGTTCTCAATTTTTTTCTCAGTTGCTGAATCAGTGACTCTTTAAGGCTCACCCATTATTTATTATCAGTGGAAAGTCATGGACTTGGTTGCTAAGTCCAATTGTGATCACATTTCCAAATAGTTGAACATTGTGTTATGTGTCTTATTGTGACTTACTGTATAACTAAATCTGTCATTCATTCAGCTTCAGTGATTTTTGTAGATTTTTTTTCAGAAGAGTACTATTGCTGATCATAACCAACCTTTTGATTGTTGTATAATTAGTAACATAATTAAAACTGCTAAGAGATGTGCTAATAGTTGGTCCTCACAAAGTTGATGAGTCCACAGGTAAAGAATGAGTGCAGGACTCCCAAGTGGGGGAAAAGTGAGGAAAATGGTGAAAGTACATGATTTTTAAACTTTTCAGGGTGGGGGGTTTCCTGAAGCCCCCCAAAAAACTCTGGATCCGCAACTTTCTTTATTCTTAGTGGACTGGATAATAGAATATTCCCAAAAAGAAGAAGCTTAGTACATGTACATATATGTATTAGTAGGTTGGACTGGCGCACACAATCTATATATAATCATAAATAAGTAATCCATGAAAAATTCAGGATACTCCATACATACATATATACACAATCACAATGTAAACGTACACAGCATCCATAACATATATCCCCGATTTGCTCCTTTTAGGGACAACGTGATGACTTTGGCAAATATTACATACATGTATGATTACACCAGGGATGCGTAGTGGACATCCCTGATTACACTTAAAGGTATTTTTCAAAACGATAGTTGCACCTCTAATATGAAACCTATACTGATACAGATAAAGACAAGCAATACTTGTAGCGCTCACCACATGGTCAGTGCTCATTGTTTACTTACCCAAAACAAAACATTGAATCCAAACATCAAATATTTGATACAGCAGCTGACTTCAGACTTATCCCTCCGAGGGTTCCGCACCATCGCGGCGTCTTTTCCTCTACTCATGGTCAAGCTGACATGTGCCTCGTCTTTAAAACCCCTGTTTCGCGACACAGAACGTTGTCGGGTGGTCATGCACAGCGACTCTGTGACAGTAGACTATAACTCACTCCATCTGGAAAGCAGGCCTATGCCCTCTCACCTTTCTTAACCGGAAGTGGTACAAATCAGACAGGCGCTTAAACGGAGGACCGATTGATAAATCAAAACAAACCATATTCAATATTAATTGTCATACCTACTGCTTTGTAACAATAAATCATTCTTCCGAATTACATCTTAATTCACGCCAGCATCATCGAATATATTTAACCGATTAAACAAAATACCGTTCAAAATATCTTCAGGGTCGATGAGACGTTTGGCGATAAAATAAAGCACCTCTTTACCTGTTGCAGACGACACTCGAAACAAGTTTTGTTTGTTAATTATGTCAACCGATGATCGTTTGCGGATGTTCAAGGATTACAAGGATTATCAACATGTATTGAATTTTATTTACGTACTCTGGATAGGTTATATCAACTGTACACACCGATTTAGGTAAAGGCCGAAACAATTTGGTTTATGTTGTAAGGGAGGTAACCCCTATTGAATTAGTGTGTATTGTCCGTTGCTCTGTTAGGTCCCAGGTTAAATAATTTCATTTCTGACAACATATATTTTTCTTTCCTGTTCCCTGTTGTACATACTCATATTTCAATGTTTGCGGGATTCCTCAAGTTACAGTAAATACATATAAAACGTAATACGTTTTATTTGTATGAGGTTACATATAAAATCTTTGAAAAACTAGATCAACTCATTTCAATGATAGACGTAAACTAAAATTAAAATGTCTTGGAGGAATAAATATGGGCATATACTATTTTTGTGCTTTTATTGGCCGTAAATGGCTGTTGTTGAATTAACCATGTTGTACCACTGTTCAAAGAACTTCCTTTTCAGTTGCTTTATAAGTACTTGTTTAGTCAGTCTAGCTCAGTTATTTTGTCTGGAAATGTATCTTGATACACGTCTTAGAAAATGGTTGAGTGTTTTGCAGTTTCTTGTAAGTTCTCCATGTAACAGATCCATTCAACAGACCATATAGGTCTGGCTTGAGTTAGAACAGAACATTCATGGCTAGCTTCTTTATACTGGGTATTATGTGATGTATATGAACATAATTATATCTTTTCTTCAATTTGTTTTCTATGCTTTATTTTTTTTTATCAATTACTGATGTACTAATATTTCTCTAAGATGAATAAAAGTGTTATTTTTTGTCGCGACAGTAACTTTAGTGCTCCTTGTCTTGTTTGGTACAATTGAGAAATGGGCAATGTCATCTACGAAGTCAAGATATGTAGTCTAGCTGCTACGCTTCAGTCAATGGCCTACCACTAGCATTGATTCACAGTACTGAAACTAAAACTCCCAGATATTTTTTTGTCATCATACTGTTAGCTAGTATAAACAGGTAAAAGTTTGGTGGCCCAATGTCTACGGCCATATCACGGTTCTCGCCTGGTTAGTATACTTGGATGGGTGCTGCACGTGACCGCCTGGGAATACCAGGTGTCGTCGTAGACATTTTCTTTTGAAATTTATTTTTTCTCTATATTACACTTCTTGACATTATAAACAATAAGATTGACCAATAACATTTTACGTACTAAGTCCTGCCGTAGAAGCTCTGTATGCATGATGAATTTGTCATGGATGGATGTCGCAGTATTTATCGAAATTCCATACGGTTCTCATCATTTATATAAGGTTGTTTCTATTCGATTTTGTCTGCTTAACCCATAGAACCCTATTAATTCACAATACTGAAACTAAAACTCCCAGATATATATGGTCACATAAGGGTTCACGATCTGCCAAAAGCGCATTAACCGAATTCTTCGACGCCAACTATATATTCCCCAACATCCTTTGCATTCACAATGCCCTATATGACGTTACTTTCATTTCATTCCTGCAGTATTTTCTTTCGTCCCGGATCTTTATAGAAAGCGTATAGAGGAGAATGTCAACAGATAGAAATGGGTTTTCTTGTGAAAGAATGTTGTCCAGTCCTGCTGTTTTTCCAGATTTCTCCAACTTATGAGAGATACATGTATGCGTCATTTAGTTCTCTGATGCTATATGTTGGAACTGATGTTGTACTGATGCCATAGGGTGGAACTGATGTTGTACTGATGCTATAGGTTGGAACTGATGTTGTACTGATGCTATAGGTTGGAACTGATGTTGTACTGTACATTTTCTTGTTTGGACAAAATTCTCTGTGATAATGCCCACATCCGGTTCTTCTGTGTAGTTTATCTTCTCACTCAGTAGTCTTTGGAGGTTAAATTCATCATCGGAGTCCTCTTCGTTTTTAGAAGCATAGTATGGTATTAATCTTGCCGTATGATTTTTCTTGTATTTTGTTCTGAAGCTTGCCGTCATAAATATTCAGCGGATTACTTCCAAGGTGATCAGTAGATGTATTTTAGGGGTCTTCAACCTCAATCCGATTGAGATTAGATTAATTTGTCTTATAGATTGAAAAGTCTTACCAGTTTTAAGAGGTAAGTTATAATGAAATCATAAGGAGATAGTGCCCTCGGGGTCGAATGCTTAAGGAGGGATGGGTAGTGACATTCAAGTCACGGTTGATCACTAATTCCCAAAAAAAGGACGGCTACTGTAACTGGCTGCATGGATACTCCTACCTTTGATAAGGCAGCAGTACCTTTGCTTCACCAACCATGTCAAATAGTATGATCACCATCACCTTCGTTGTTAGTAAGATGACTTTGTCAAACCAAACAAGAGATTCTGCTCAACATCACTTTTCGTGTCAGTACTTCATCCGAGGTTTGGATCAATATAGCGTTCGTTATCGTTTTATCCACAAGACATTCTGATCAACACCAACATAGTTTGCAGTACATCGACTTTATTAACCATATATTTTATGACCACAATCAGCTTCTTTGTCAGTACCATGTTCTCAGTATATCAGCCGTGTCTACCGTATGTTCACCATGTTCTGCTAAAATTATATTGGCACCTTAGCTTCTGATCAGCAATCCATTAGCTGGCATTGATTTAGCTTCATCATTCTGATGTTTCAATCTACTTCATCTTCATTGTCCCTACCTTGGCATCATTCACCAGAGTTTCTGGTCGGCATCATCCTAATTGTCCATACCTCGGCTTCATCAACAATAGTTTCTGATCAAATTTTCCTTCACTGTCAGTCAACTGGATACTATGATCACCTTCACCTTCATCAACAAGAGTTTCTCATCACCTTCACCTTCATTGTCCATATCTCGGCTTCATCAGCAAAGGTTTCTGATCACCTTCACCTTCATTGCCCAAACCTGGGCTTCATCAACTAGAATTTCTGATAACCTTCACCATTATTTCCATACCTTGGCTACATCACGGAATTAAAATTATCTAAGTCAGTGGTTATATCAACCAAAGTTTCTGATAACCTTCACCATCATTGTCTATACCTTGGCTCCATCAACCAGAATTTCTTCTGATCACCTCACTTTCATTCTTCATACCTCGGCTTCATCAACCAGAGTGTCCCATCACCTTCACCTTCTTTGTCCATATCTCGGCTTCATCAACAATAATTTCTCATCACCTTCACCTTCATTGTCCATATCTTGGCTTGTTCAACAAGATTTTCTCACCACATTCACCTTCATTGTCAAAACCTTGTCTCATCAATAAGAGTGTCTCATCACCTTCACCTTCATTGTCCATACCTCGGTCTCATTAACTTTATTTTCTTTGTCCATACCTCGGCTTCATCAACAATAGTATCTTATCACCTTCACCTTCATTGTCCATATCTCGGCTTCATCAACACTAGTTTCTCATCAACTTTACTTTCTTTGTCCATACCTCGGCTTCATCAACACTAGTTTCTCATCACCTTCATCTTCATTGTCCATATCTCGGCTTCATCAATACCGGTTCTCATCACCTTCACCTTCATTGTCCATACCTCGGCTTCATCAACACTAGTTTCTCATCAACTTTACTTTCTTTGTCCATACCTCGGCGTCATCAACAATAGTATCTCATCACCTTCCCCTTCATTGTCCATATCTCGGCTTCATCAACACTAGTGTCTCATCAACTTTACTTTCTTTGTCCATATCTCGGCTTCATCAACAAGAGTGTCTCCTCACTTTCACCGTCATTGTCAATATCTCGGCTTCATCAACAATAGTATCTCCTCACTTTCACCTTCATTGTCGATACATTGTCTGATCAATAAGAGTGTCTCATCACCTTCACCTTCATTGTCCATATCTCGGCTTTATCAACACTAGTTTCTAATCAACTTTACTTTCTTTGTCCATATTTCGTTTTCATCAACAAGAGTGTCCCATCACCTTCACCTTCTTTGTCCATACCTCGGCTTCACCAACAATAGTATCCCATCACATTCACCTTCATTGTCCATATCTCGGCTTCATCAACACTAGTTTCTAATCAACTTAACTTTCTTTGTCCATACCTCGGCTTCATCAACACTAGTTTCTCATCACCTTCATCTTCATTGTCCATATCTCGGCTTCATCAATACCGGATCTCATCACCTTCACCTTCATTGTCCATACCTCGGCTTCATCAACACTAGTTTCTCATCAACTTTACTTTCTTTGTCCATATCTCGGCTTCATCAACGATACATTGTCTGATCAATAAGAGTGTCTCATCTCCTTCACCTTCATTGTCCATATTTCGTCTTCATCAACAATAGTAGCTCCATATCTCGGCTTCACCAACAATAGTATCTCATATACCTCGGGCTCATTAACTTTATTGTCTTTGTCCATACCTCGGCTTCATCAACAAGAGTGTCTCCTCACTTTCACCTTCATTGTCAATATCTCGGCTTTATCAACAATAGTATCTCCTCACTTTCACCTTCATTGTCGATACATTGTCTGATCAATAAGAGTGTCTCATCTCCTTCACCTTCATTGTCCATATCTCGGCTTCATCAACAATAATTTCTCATCACCTTCACCTTCATTGTCCATATCTCGGCTTCACAAACAATAGTATCCCATCACATTCCCCTTCATTGTCCATATCTCGGCTTCATTACAAGAGTGTCCCATCTACTTTACTTTCTTTGTCCATATCTCGGCTT